CCCCCCCCCCGCTTTTTTCCCCCATCAGGTTACTTGTTTTCTTACTGTTAAGTTGTTTGACTTACATATTCAGGATATTAACCCATTGTTGGATGCATAGTTTGCAAATATTTTCTCACATTCTGTAGGTTGTCTTTTCACTCTGTTAATTGTTTCTTTTGCTGTGCAGAAGCTTTTTAGTTTGATATAATCCCATTTGTTTATTTTTTCTTTTGTTGCCTGTGCTTTTGGGTTCTTATTCATAAAGTCTTTGCCCAGTCCTACTTTCTGAAGTGTTTCCCCTACGTTTTCTTTTAGGAGTTTTGTAGTTTCAGGCCTTATATTTAAGTTTTTAATGCATTTTTGAGTTGATTTTGGTATATGGTGAGAAGTATGGGTCTAGAGTCATTCTTCTACATAGGGATATCCAGTTTTCCCAGCATCACTTACTGAAGAGGCAGTCTTTTCTCCAATGTATGTTCTTGGTGCCTTTGTCAAAGATCAGTTGGCTGTAAGCATGTAGGTTGATTTCTGGGTTCTCTATTCTGTTCCATTGGTCTGAGTGTCTATTTTTATGCCAATACTATGCTGTTTTTGCTACTATAGCTTTGCAGTACAATTTGAAGTCAGGTAATGTTATCCTTCCCTCTTTATTTTTTTTTGCACAGGATTGCTTTGGCTATTCAGGGTCTTTTTTTGTTCCATATGAATGTTTGGATTGTGTTTTCTATTTCTGTAGAGAATGTCATTGGTATTTTTATGGGGATTGTATTGAATCTGTAGATTGCTTTGGGTAGTATGGACATTTTCACAGTGTTTATTTTTCCAATCCAAGAGCGTGGAAAGTCTTTCCATCTTTTTATGTCCTCTTTAATTTCTTTCAAGAGTGATTTGTTGTTCTTGTTGCAGAGATCTTTCACCCCCTTAGCCAAATTTAAAACTAGATATTTTATTTTTTTGGTGATTCTTTGTATTTCTGTGGTATTGGATGTGATATCTCATTTTTCATTTCTGATTTTTTGTTGTTTGGGTCTTCTCTCTCTTGTTTTTTTTTTAGTTATCCTAGCTAATGGTTTGTCTATTTTGCTTATCATCTCAAAAAAACAACTTTTTGTCTCATTAATCTTTTGTATCATTTTTTTGGGATCTCTATTTCATTTAGGTCTGCTCTGACCATAATTATTTCTTTCTGCCTACTAATTTTGGGATTGGATTGTTCTTGTTTTTCTGGTTCTTTGAGGTTTAGCATTAGGTTGTTTATTTGAATTCCTTTTATTCTTTTGATGTTAGTGCTTATTTCAATAAACTTTCCTCTTAGTACTGCTTTTGCAGTATCCCACAGATTTTGCTATATGTGTTTTGATTTTCATTAGTTTTGAGAAATTTTTTGATTTTCTGTTTAATTTCTTCTTGGGCTCATATGTCATTCAGGAGCATGTTTAATTTCCACGTGTTTTTATACTTTCCAGAGTTTTGGTTGTTACTGATTTCTAGTTTTAATTCATTATGGTCTGAAAAAATAGTTGAAATGATTTCAATTATTTAAAATTTGTTGAGACTTGATTTGTGACCTAATATGTGTTCTATCATGGAGAATGTTCCATGTCCTAATCAGAAGAATGTATATTCTGTGATTGTTGGATGAAATGTTCTGTAGATATCTGCCAAGTCCAACCGGTCTAAGGTGTGGTTTAAATCCTGTGTTTCTCTGTTGATTTGTTGCCTAGATGATCTGTCCAGTGCAGACAGATGGATGTTCAGGTCCCAAACTATTATCGTATTTTGCTCTATCTCTTTCTTTTTGTCTAATTGTGTTTGCATTATAGATCTGGGCACTCCAATGTTGGGTGCATATATATTTATGATTGTTATGTGTTGTTGCTAGATAGATCACTTTATCATTGTATGGTGGCCTCCTTTGTCTCTTTTTATGTTTTTTGGATTAAAGTCTATTTTATGTGATATAAGAATAGCTACTCCTGCTCGTTTTTGGTTTTCTTTTTGCATGACATATCTTTGTCTCTCTCTTCACTATTAGTCTGAGTGTGTCTTTACAAGTGAGGTGAGTCTCTTGAAGACAGCATATAGTTGGGTCTAGCTTTTTAATCTAATCAGCTCGTCTGTGTCTTTTGAGTGGGGAATTTAATTCATTTACATTTAGGGTTGTTTGAAAGATATTTTCTTACTCCTGGCATTTTGTTGATTTTCATTTGGATGTTTTAAATATCTTTTGTTTCTTCCCTTTTACTGTTTGTCTTCAGTGATTGTTGATTTTCTGAGGTGGTAAGATATTGTTTCTTTCTCTTTCTCATTTCCATTTTTGCTCTACAATTGGGTTATGTTCTTTCTCGTGTATTCATGTTGTGATTATTGTTTTTGGTTTTCAGAGGCAGGACTCACTTCTGTTTGTCTTCAGTGATTGTTGATTTTCTGAGGTGGTAAGATATTGTTTCTTTCTCTTTCTTATTTCCATTTTTGCTCTACAATTGGGTTATGTTCTTTCTCGTGTATTCATGTCGTGATTATTGTTTTTGGTTTCCAGAGGCAGGACTCACTGGAGTATTTCTTATAGGGCTGTTCATGTGGTGGTGAACCCCTGTAGTTTTTGTTTGTCTGGGAAATACAGCATTTCTCCCTCATTTCTGAAGAATAGCCTTGCTGGGTGTAGTATTCTTGGCTGGCAGGTTTTTCCTTTTAGTATTTGAATATATCATCCCATTTTCTTCTGGCGTGTAGAGCGGCTATTGAGAAATCTGCAGTTAGTCTGATGGGGATTCCCTTACAGGTGACTCGATGCTTTTCTCTTGCTGTTTTTAAGACTCTCTCTTTGTCTTTGAGCTTTGCCAGTTTGACTGTAATGTTTCTTGGAGAGAATTTTTTTGGATTGAATCTGTTTTGTAATCTTTGAGCCTCCTAGACCTGAAGGTCTGCATCTCTCATCATACCTGGCAGTTTTCCACTAATATTTTGTTGAATAGGTTTTCAATGCCTTTTCCTTTCTCGTCCCTGTCCAGAGCACCCATGATTTGGATGTTTGTGCACTTATGGTTGTCTACTAGTTCTCTTAGATTTTCTTCATTTTAAAATTCTTTCTTTGTTTTTCTTTTTTCACCTGAGTTACTTTGAAGAGACTGTCTTCAAGATCAGAAATTCTTTCTTCTGTTTTCCCTAATATGCTGCTTAAAGCTCACAGTTGTATTTTTTATTTCATTGACTGAATCTTTTAGTTCCAGGACTTCTGCTACATTCTTTTTAAAAGTATTTCCTCAGGTTGAATTGTCCCCCCAAATTCACTGAAGCTTGAATTGTGTCCCTCAAGTTTTATGTATTAGAAACTTGGGCCCCACTGTCACTGTTGGGAAGGTGGGAAATCTTATTATGGTAATTGAAAGGTGGGGCCTTGAAGAGGTGATTAGATTGTAGGACCATGCCATAGTGAACAGATTAATAATCATGGTCAGGGACATAGTTCTGAGGACTTTAAAAAGAGAGTGAATGAGGAGGTTAGTCTCTGCTCTCTCTGCTCCACCATTTTTGCAATGTGATATCCTGCTGTCACTGAAGTCACCACCAAAGGAAGCCTTCACCAGATGTGTTCCCCAGACTTTGGACTTCCTAGCCTCAGAAAGTGTAAGCAATAAATTTTGTTTTTTTATACAATACCCAGTTCTGTGTATTTTGTTATAAGCAACAGAAATGGACTACTACAGGTATTCATGTTCTTGTAAGTTTCCTCCTTCATATACTTCATATTCATATTTTTCTTATGTTGTTGTGTCATCTAACTGAGTCTTTTTATATCTCATTGAGTTTCCTTAAGATTGTTGTTTGGAATTCCTTTTCAGTCATTTTATGGGTTTCCTGCTCAATGGGGTTAGTTGCTTCTTCTATTACTCTAGAGTGGGCTTTGAGCAGACAGACTTCCTCCTATAGATGTGTTTTATATTGGCTGTTGAGTAGGGTCTTTTAGTATTGGTTCTGGGTAGACAGGGAAGTGCAGTCTACTTGTGGGTACTTCAGCCATGTTTGGTGTTGGAGTTTCATATGAGTGCCTCTGTGGCCTAGGCACTGGGGCACTTAGTAATTCCTTGCTAAGGTCAGTGACACTGTGCTGGTTCATCAAGGATGTGAGTGAGCTCTTGAGTTATTCGGAGAAATGTCTGAATATGCTGTTGCTGTTTGGCTGGCATGGGTGACCCTGGGTCAGCTTGTTGGCACACCAGAGAGTGTTCCATGACTCTGATGGGTGCACTGGGGTGTACTGAGTTACTCAGTTTGAATGGGTGGTGCTGGGCAGATTTTCTCTTTGCTCTTTCCTAAAGGCCAAGGCTCTCTGTGTTCTTGCTTTCCCCTGTTGGGGGATGGGATAGTGGTGATTGAGAATTTTCTTCCTTATTCTATTTGGATATCCTGGGTTTCTGGACTCTCAGTGGTTTCCACATGTGTGTCTCCCTGGATCAAGGCAGTCACATGGGCTGTGCATGTACCTCCCACTTTCAGGTGTGTGCAGAATAATTCCCCCTCTGGGTTGAGCCACTGGGTCACAGTTCTACACTCACTCACCTCTTTCCCTGGGCTCTACTGATGACTCGCCTTGTGACAATGCAGTTGAGTGGTTGGCAGGCCACCTGCATGGTGGTGGTAGCTGCTGCAGTGGCTGTGGTAGACCACTTATGCAACAGTGGTGTCAGTGGCAGTGGCAGGGGCTGCCCTTGGCTCCTGAGGTCCCTGGGTGCTCCTGCTATCTCTTCACTTGTTTTGTATTCCTTAGCATACATGTATTCCCTAGATTGTCCCGGATCCCTCTAGATTTAAATGCCAGGGCTACTCCACTTTCCTTGGCTTGTGTCCTTCCTCCCCTCCTCTCTACTTCCCTCACTCATGGGGCAGCTGCACACACACAGGAGTGTCAGTGAAGCCCTCAGGGGTCTCCATTCTTTCTTCTTCCTGGAGCCTCAGAGGATTCAGTTTGGAGGCCTGGATGTTCCATGGCCTAGTTCACTGTTCTAGTTCTTCCGGTTCTTTTGGTTTGGAAGCCCAGGGATCTTCACAGCCAGTCTGAATCTCCACATGAAACACATAATTGAGTATCCTCCCTCCTGCTACTCCCACTCACCTTGTTCTAGTTTCCAGCAGTACCTCTGTCTATGGAAGTACTGCCCCAATGTGGTCTGAGCTTTTTATTAACATTTTTTTCAATGTTTTTCTATGCCCGTATGACACGAGTAAATTCTGAGGGGAGTGAATAGGTTGAGAGAAGACCTGATTCTTTCCCTCAGTTGATTTTTTCACTACCATAGGTTTGTTATCTCTCTCAATCTGTACTGCCTTACATTAGTTGAAATGGCTGGAACTTTTCCAAATTCTCTCTAAAAATTCAAAGGAGTGAAATGTAGTATTCTTTCTTTTACTATATTCCCAGGTGTGAAGAAGCAGCCTGGTATCTGGCTAACTATGAAAATTCTAGTGCTTTTGCAAACAATTAAGTGCTTCGTATATTTAGATGTGGGCACTGTGTAGACTCTGGTAATTTCTGACATTTTATGAACAAGTTGTCTGAAACCCATTTTATGATCTCCTATGTCTGCAGTAAGAATTAGGAACTCCAGAGGAGCAGAGATTAAGGAAGAATGTTCTCTTCTTTTCTTGGCATCCCATCCTCACCCTGTTGATTTTAGGTGCCTACCAGTTAGCCACACTTTTTAGCCACATTCCTTGGAAAAAGCTCAGGCCCTGGCAAATGTAGCCCTACCCTTCCCTTCCTTTGTCTCTTGTTGTGGTCGGGAGGTAAGTGGCTGAGCCTCCCTACTGAGAGTCCATGATAAAGAACTGTGATCTTCTGTGATGTTAATGGTGGATATTACTTTTTCAGTCTTCTTCATGTACAAAAGTATGTAAAACAGAAAGACTCTGCTTCTCCTAGCATTTCCCTGAAGCATAGTGTTACTGTACCTCAAATTGGACTTAGCTTTCTCCTTGTGATGCAGGGTCTGGGTAGGACTGGACGCTATCTTCCCCTGTCCTCTCATTTCAGCTTGAGAAGAAAACGACTCATGGGTGATCACTGGAGAATCTGGCTACTGTAAAGTGGCACACTTTCCTGGGAACCTTATGATTGTTCTTTTTCCAAGTCAGAGCATCCCCAAATCACATCAAGTGTGGACCACAGAAATGCTAGCAAAACTTCTAGTTGTTTTCTTAAGGTTTTTCTCTCTATTGATAAGAATACTTACCAAGAATGTTCTCAAAGATGGAAATTTTAGCTGAGAAGAAAGTAGCTATCTCAGTTACATAAGGGAACTCACATTTACATGGGGGTTTCCCTTGGAATTTTTTCCCCTCTTGTCTTGGGTGTGGTGATTTCAACATTCCAGTAAAGTTCCACCAGGAATATATGTAGTTAAAGGTGATTAATAATTTTCCTGAGCAACGATAGACAGGGATTGTGGCAGGTCAACAATAAATGTTGAGTGTCTACTATCTAAAGTTCATTCAACTTAACCCTGTGTGGATGTTTAATAAAATGTACAAAATAGAATATGCTGACTATGGAATTGGGGAGACAAGAAAAACATGTATATGAACTTAACTAACTCTAGGGGACAGTGCATGATCTGCATCAGCTGCAGTACTTGCAGCTAAGAGTCAGTAGCTTAATAATTGGCACAAGAGCCAAGAAGAAAAATCATGTGATCATCTCTATTGAGGCAGAGAAGGCATTTGATAAAATACAACACACATTCATGTTAAAACATTCAAAAATAGGAATTAATAACTAATTCCTTTACATAAAAA